GAAGGAAATTGTTAGCATTTCCAGTCTTACCGATGGTGATGTTCTAACTCATGCTGCTTGATTTTTGTCAGTTTTGCACAAACCTAGACACGTCGAGAACAGGGAATCTCAACTGAGAAATGGCTACCCTTGGTTTGGTCTGTAGGCATGTATGTGTTGCATGTTCTTAATTAATGACTGATATGAGATGACCCTACTGCTTATGGACAGTGCCAACACTTGGGAAGTTGTTCTGAGAGTTATAAGAGGGAGAACTGTAGATATCATGAAGATGAAGCCAGTAAGCATCATTCTTAAATGTACTCTGATTGGATTCCCACATCCATGGTCATTCCTTGGCTTCTGTCAGTGAACTGTGGCCCAAGGTATATAAATAAATAGACCATTATATCATATGTTGCTTTTGATCATGGTATTTTGTTACAACAATAGAAACCAAGACATCAGCAAGGCGGTAAATTGCCTCAGCTGGGATTTGAAATATCATAGACTACTGATGAACTAAAAGGAACTGTTTTGAAAAGAATAAATTTAAGATTAACATTAAGAGTGAATGTTAGCAAAATATGGAGTAGAGTGACAGCATTGCATATTGTGAACGGCCCTCACATCAGTGCTGGATTCTGAAGCAGATTTATAATTCCAAAGGATGTTAGGAATATTAGCTAACATACTAAGAGGGGCACAGTTTATGAAAAGGAAAATGAGGTTCAGATTGTGCCTACAGTAAAGGACTTTGAGTTCTATGGGAAAACACCATTTCATTGAGAATTGGACAACAGTGAGAGAAATCCGTAGTGAAAATAATGCCATCCATAATACCTTTTTAACAATAAGATCGGTAAAGTCTGTGAACACATAAATCACTCTAGCTGAAGGGTCTCCATCTCATTTTTATCAAATAGCAGCTACTAAATTTTTTGAGCTTAACATTATACACCTCTCTCTCTCTCTCTCTCTCTCTCTCTCTCTCTCACACACACACACACACACACACACACACACACACATGCATACAAATTCTGAAATCAGTTGTTGAAGATCAGTTTCATTTTTCTCTCAAATTTTGTTTTTTATTTTGTTGTTTTTAACTGTTATTTTAGAGATTGTAATATAATTGTTTCTCCATTACCTTTCCTGTCTCCCCAAACCCCCTTATACCCATCCTTGCACTCCTAAAGTACACATGACATCTTATTTCATTAACTGTTCCTGCATGTATATACATGTTTGTGTATACATATTCATTTCTAAATATAAACTGTAGAGTTCATGTAAATTACATGCATTTATGTTGTCAGGGATCATTTTTTGGCACTAGGCAGCCAATCTGTATTCCCTTCCCTTTTGGTCAAAACTTTTCCATCCCTAGATTTACCAATTTTCCTCTAGATGGGTGTGCAACTTTGAGGCCTTGTGAGCTTTGTGCCATCCATTCTGGCATGCTCACTGTTGTGATGTTTCTTCAGATCATAGTTTGGGAGTCATGATTGTAAGACTTTTTGGTATACCTTCTACTCTTCCTAGGATACATATGTTTATAGCAAGCTCCCTCATCCTCTGACTTTCAAGATGTTTCCCACTGTCTTCTTCATTTTCCCTGAGCCTTAGGTGTGGGAAGATTTTGAAGTGAATCAACTGCTAATTGTAAAGGTTTGTGTTGAAGCGGAGGAATCAGGATGGAGCTGCATCCAGGTGGTCTTTATTCCCTTTACCTTTTTTCCTGGGAGCATGGACTCTAGTTTTTAGCAACTTAAATGATAGTCAGTGGAGGTAAAGCTAGACATTTCCATGTTTTATAACATTAGTAAATTCTATCTTTATGATTCTTTCCTTACCACCAGGTTGTATAGAGCAAACCAAAGCTTGTTTGCAATCCAAGCCTGTCAAAAAAGAGAAAATCAGTTTTCTTCAATGGAGGGTCACTGGTTGTATCAATCACACTACAGGAAAAGTCCCTGCCTTTTGTTGTAGTTAGTCAATACAAAACAAAATTTATATGTTACTGTGTGTTTGTGTGTGTGTGTTTGTGTGTGTATGTGTGCATGTGTGTGTATGTGTGCATGTATGTGTATGTGTGCGTGTGTATGTATGTGTGTGTGTGTTTGTGTGTGTGTGGCTGGGGAGGGATTTGTTATTTTGTTCTCTTTGGGGCACTCTTTTGTCTTACTGGGTTTTTGTTTGTTACAATTTTTCACTTTATGATTTGCTACTATTTTTAGGAAAAAGAGAAGAAAAATCAAGAAATATGTGGGGAGAATAGGGTTAGTTTGTGGAGGAGAAAATATGATCAAAATATATTATTTGATAAAATGTATTTAAAATGTTGTTTTAGTTTTTATGTGTTTGGGTTTAGTTTTTTAATTTATTAAAAAACATAAAAGAAAAATTTCACTCTCCAATCAATGCACACAATCTCATCTTTTTCACCAGTGCAGTCTTGGATGGATACTGTCAGAAAGGAAGAGTAACATTTGCCATTAGACAGTGTAGCTATTGCTGTGTGCAACTAAAAACAATGAGCAAAGGACCTACATTTTCATTAAGGTGATTTCAATATTTTTCCCATTTCTAGAAAAAAATAGGTGAACATAATGAATACATTTTAGGTTCCATTTAAACTAATAGGAGAAAGTTTTGACAATGATACAAAAATGTTATTGTGTTAAAAATACCTTGGAACCTGATAAATGGTTCCCAATTATTCCAAATAGTTCTGATAAACCTGTGAAGTATACAAACTTTTGTTCCGTTTTCTATAATCCAAAAGTTTATTCATTATAAAGTTTCTAAAATTATGATCTTTTGATCACCCAAAAATACAGTCAAGAAAGAAAAATATTCATGCCAACAAAATTCTTTCTGTTGTGTTCTTAAACTTACATGAAAATAGCATAAATAGCCGTAAATTGGGATAATAACAACTTAATAACATTGTTATCTTTGTGTATTTACTTTCTGCATAAAGTGCCTTTGGGGTCTTAGAATCTGGACTCCGGTTAGGAATACGGTTGCTATTGGCTTCAGGATTTAGAACACTATTTTATCTTTTCTCATTTTGCATACCAATCACATTCCATGGGGGAGTCAACAATGTCTATCTCATTGCTTTGAGGCAGGACCAAGGCCCTCCCCACTATATTTAGGCTGAGCAAGGTATTCCTCCAAAGAGAATGCGTTTCCAAAAAGACAGTACATGCAGTAGGGATAAATCCTGGTCTCACTGTCGGTGGCCCCACAGTCTGCCCCAGGCATACCACTGTAAGGGACTAGTTTGGTCCTCTAATGGTCCCTTCGCTATCAGGCTGGAGTTGGTGGGCTTCCCTTAGCTCAGTGGGTGTCCCCATCACGGTCTTGACCTCTTTGCTGGTAATCTCACTCATCCCACTCTTTGACAACGGACTGTGGGAGCTCAGCCCAGCGCTCCGCTGTGGATCTCTTTAAAAGCAAGAACCCTTAGCTAATTCTTATGATATTTCTCCTGTGTGCCCGGGGATCCACGGAAGGCGTGGAGGACAGGAGCGCGTGCCGCGTAGCTTTGCAGACCTGGGAGGCGCTCAGCCGAGGCCCCGCCCCTAGTCCTGTGATTGATGTGGGGGGCCCAGCCCATTGTGGGTGAGGCCCCGCCCCCTAGTACTGTCCGCGCAGCGACTGCCGGAGAGCGGCGTTAGTGCTGTGCGCATGCGCGTGTTCGGGCGCCCACGGAAGTCACGGGTTGAAACAGTTACCAGGTTTCCGGATGTCTTGTCGGTCAGTGATGCTGGTCTCGCGGCTGGTAGGGCCCTGGGTGATGTAACCCGGGTTGTTTAGTTTCACCTTTGGGATAGTGTGCAGAAAATGCGTTGTGTGTCGCTGGCAGCGTTAACCCGCTGTGTACAGCATGGGGGGCGGGGCGGGTGGCTCCGGACTGTCGTTTGTGAAGTGCGTCCCCAGGTATTAAAATAGTGGTGTTGGTGGGTGGCTCTGACAGGAAGTTTCAGAAGAAAGATTGCGCAGTTGACGTCAGTAGTCGTTTCTCTAGGTTATTTACGAGTTCGAGGAGAAGCTTTTAGTACAAGGTGCATGCACAAAATTTTAGAATTTGCCAAGGGTATTACAAAACAGAAACCAAACTAGCTCCGCACCATTGTCTGTATAATTTTAAAATACCGTACCGTGGTGAAGTTAGTGAGACTTTTCACAGATTTTTGCTGTTGTTCTGAGTGAGTGTTTATGTATCTTTTGCTGTCCTGAAATAGTCTATGTTGACCATGCTGGCCTCGAACTCACAGAGATCCACCTGCTTTTGACTCTTAATGCTAGAATTAAAGGCGTGAACCATTGTGCCGGGCTACAGACCTTAAAACTAGCTTTTAAGTGTACTTTTAATATAAAAGCTAAGTGAAGAGTTGTAAATTCCCTTTCAGCCCCTTAGACATGTGCTATGTGTTTATAATTGCAGTAAACTTGTAAAGTTGTATGTTCTTCTAATACCTCCACCCGAACCCTGAAATTAACATATTAAGGAAAGCAAAACCAAAATTATGTCAAAGATATTTAAGGAAAACTATGGGCTATACTTTGGATAAAATGTTGCTCTTTGTGTCCTCAGAAGCTATTATCAGCTTGAATTTTCTATTTCTGTTTGAATTCTATTTGGACATCATTATGAAGCAGGATTTTTGCCACTTCAAGTAATAAAGGAATTCTAAGGGTTAGAGGAAGTTCAGCCACTAAATAAATTGCAAAAACTTGGTTTTAGATCTCTGTAGCAGGGAAGTGAATATAGCAAGATGTATATCCATATCTTCACTAGGCAGTGTCTGCCTTTTGCTTTAGGTGAAGCATGTCTTGTTGAAGAATGTCTTTCCCTCACTCTATGG